GCAGTCATACCTATGTAATTAATACATACAGCAGTCTTAAACACAAGTAATACAGCACAATATAATATTAACTCGATGTAATAATAACAGTCTGCACGATATTATTATTATTTGATTGCGTGCATAAAATTTCTGTTGAAAAAATACATGATAAAAAAAAACTTCTCAGCTGAGTTTCTCTGCGAATTCGTCGACTTCCGGCCGTGCAGGGATAGGTTTATGGACCAACAACTTTTCAGACACAAAATATGATTGGTTAAGGAAGTAGTACACCATAATGTACATTACATAATATACCTCTAATGAAAAAGAGACAGTTAAATATTTCTCCAGCGGCATATTATTCTTATTGTTTAGCTATTGTTCAGTCCGTGTTCATACGCGTGGTCAAGTTGACTATTTGATAGGTACGTAATTATACAGTATACACCACTGTTTGTGTTTGTGTTTAATATTTATTTTTGTTCATAATATTCATTTTTTTTTTTTAAGTATCTATGTTTTTATTTTTAATATTTTTCACCCCGCCGAGGCTGTCTGAGTCAAACTATATAGGTACATGACAAAATAATAAGTGCTGCATAATGTTATATAAGCCTACCGGTTACGCTCGTCCTTAATCTGTACTTCATGCTTATAAGACCTACTTAAGTAAATCTGTTAAATTTTGCAACTATACCGTCAGCCTGAAAGTGAACATATATTATACCTTCGATTATTTTACAACCATTTTTATTAGTCTTTCGATATCGTATAGAATATATGTATATATATATATGTTTAGTCATAGCTGGCATATATATAGCATAATATCGATTTGCCCATTTTTTCAGTACCTCATAATGTTATGATACATTTTTAATGCACTTCAATAATACTATTATGGTAATTTGGTCTTATGAATAGAAAAATAATCAAAACCAGGGTTGCTAATTACTAGATTATTAATGGTATCTGAATAAATCAAATGATAAAAAGTATAATATACATTCTATTGATGACTTGCTGAGTTTTATACTTGATATGAATCCCAGTAATTTGAGGATGTTACTCTATGTTCCAGGTTGAGAGATTCTGAAATTTGGTTTTATATTGTCAATTCTAATCGTCCTCTCTTTCTCGTATGTTTGCCGCAATAATGTGAAATTTCAGAAATTCAATATTCAAGACATATTTAAAAAGAAATTTAAAAATTAAATTTTATATTTTAATAACGCTTATATTTTTACTTAATGTGTGTAAAAGTTAGAATTATTCATTGAATTTTGAAGTGTATTTCAGAACATCAAAAATATGATGTACAAATTGTATTAACTAAAATATTTTGTTTTTAATCATAATTATCAAGTACATAGGCAATGGTAAAATATAATATTTAGTATAGAATTCGCAGTTCTGCTATTTTATCGCGACAAGATTAATGTGAGTAAAAAAAACATTTTCTTGTTACTTTTCTTCTAATAACATCACTAGTTCTCGGCATTTGCAGGTAAGCATATGTGCTTAGTTGTGAGTGGATTCCATATAATATGATCCATATTATGGGGTGTTCCTTTTATCTTCATAGGGTTGGTTTTTCGAGGCCTATTCTGTTATTTTTAACGGTGGCTTAATGTTTCATTGGTATGTTGTCAGGGAAGAAGAGCCAATAGGCAATAATAGGGACCTAGTTCTTTTAATTAAATTTAATGTGGTTGAAATTTTGAGCTGTTATTTTTTCACCAGTATATTACAAGAAATATAGAAATGTTATATAATATACCTGTCGTTGGCCATTCTCTCCCATTATTTTATTAGTATACGATGTTCGTTTGACCATGCTTGTCGAAGATCTCTATTATATACATATATAAAAAAAGAATGGGGGACGAGGTGACCGAGTGGTCTGACTCTTCCGCTGCGACGCAGCCGGTCGCGGTTCGATCCTCGGCCACCGGGCGGCATTTTTCTCCGGACAATTCGCGGTGACCGGAGAGCAAGTGCTGCCATCCCCCACCCCCGGGGCATGGCAGAAACCTACGGGTGCCCCATTCGAAATTCTGCCAAAACAAACACACACGTGTTCCCCCTACCGTTCCAAAAACCTACAAACCATCAATACAAAAAAACCTACAGTACCTACTAATAGCTAATGGCCTCAGTTGCCGGGCTCAGGATCAATTAAAAAAAAAAAAAAAAAGAATATAGTTTATATTACTGTAAGATACAATTTGTTTGATTAATTGTTTGGGAAAATCATATTTTAATTTAAAGTCTAGCTTAATTTGATCATTAAATAATATTTTATATAACAGCTGGCCGCTTCTATACTTCAAATAATTGTTACGACCACCTCGCGTTCGCTCCAACATTGAGTTCTTTGTGTCGCGTTAGTGATTCATTACTGAGCTTCATAAATTTCTTAGATACGGTGTGCAGTTTCACGTCTGGAAAGGGTTAGATTCTGGGCCTCTTGGTTGATTGAAGATGAACAGTTGATTTTTGGAGTTGGTGTTTATTTAATATCCTCCTAAACAATTAATTGTGGACAAAGTGCGGAAGAACTCTACCCGAGAAATTAACTATGCACGCCAATACTTTGGATCTGGACTTAAAGTGCCAGTGGCGATTTTAGGGCAAAATACCAGTGCATAAACCTTAAGGAATAGGTACTGGGAATGGACTTGGCAGGGCGTGTTTGACTAAAATTCTAATTATATAGGGTAGTGTGACTAGTATTTATACAGAATCTCGCCTAGCTATACACGCTAGAGACTGAGAGGCGGGCGGGTATCAAAGGCTGTACCCTTCGACTTGTTTGTGGCTCGAATTGTTATTGACAATCATAGTTAATAATATGATAATTCTAAGAATTTATGAGCAGGTTTGCCGAGAATGTGTTGCTTTCGGCAACTCTGGCGTGATGTTGCGTTCGTCGTTAAATTGTACGAGTCAGATTCTCAGAATCAACGAGCAAGTCGGCTGTCGTGAATATGTTTGGAAATACAATAAGTAATAAAATATAATACATAATATTGTGAGATAAGGTAAAAGTATAAAACGATTCAGTCGGTTTACTACGGCGGCTACAAATGGTAAACTTAACGAGAACTGTTCACTCGACTCTGTAGTTGAACTTTTCGTTATCATCAAAAAAATACTGAACACAACCGAACCCACGTGCATCTACGTCATTGCCATTGTACGTATGCAAATAATTAAAATGTAGTATATTTTTCACGACGTTTGTCACTGGAATCATATTTACCGTTAATCTAATGTAAAAAGTATTAAAGTGTATTTTTTAAAATTATTTTATGCGACTATGTTTTACTGTCGTATAAAACATGATTTATTGCCCCTAGTCCATTCATTCGACTTACATCCGTGGCTATCCGTGACCCGTGTACGGGATCCGCAGGTTTTGTTTCAAGTCGTGAAAATTATTAATATTTTTCATCGGCCCTGCGTTGCCACGATAACAGAGATTAAGCGAGTTACGCGCAGAAACCAACTTGCTTGGCTGTCAGTCACGAGTGAGGGTTGTTCTAACGAATTTTTTATCGAGTTCAATTTAATCATTTTATATTTAAAGACGGCACGTTGCACACACTATAATGTGTATATTTTTATTTATCCTGATATAGTGTGTGTGTGTGTGTGTGTATGGGGGGGGGGGGGAGGTCACAAACATGAATGGCCGGTTGTCATCATAGATGTAATCGCTGGATCTGCTCCAAGGAGCGTATTGGATTTTGGATCGAAACATACCAACAAGTTCCAGTCTGCACGGAAATGCGACGTAGGCATTATTTTTAAAAATAATATGCAAGCACACTGTATAGTAGATTTTCCGGAAAGACTGTTTTTGGGTTTGAAAAGCTGTTGGTGGGTTCTCCTTCCCCCGGGTTGTATAATAGTTACGGGTAAAGTTTGTTTGGAAATTTCCGGTTTTCGAATACAGCCGGCCACCGGGTCAAAACCGTGTTTTGGGTCACGGGAGTAGGATAGAACTATAGAAGAGCTTATGAATTTACTCAGATTAAATCTTCTATGTCGTTGTAGTCTCGCAGGTAAACCTGTGCCTATGATCTGTTCATGCAAAATAAAACTTTGGTGTAAAATATTTTGTATGTTTTTGTGTTGCACGGCAACAAAAAAAACTACGTGGTTCGTTGGGTGCAAGAGATAATATAGTTTCGCAAGTGCTAAACTCTACCGATACCGTTAAAATGTTGTGATATATTATTAAAATAAATTAATAGTCTTCAACAAGATATTTTTGAAATATGTAATATAATGGTTGGATACCTACCTAAAGCCTGTTATCCATTTTTCGTCATTATTAATCCCACGCGTGTTGTTTACCTACTGCTGCTTACTAACGACAATTATTTTACGAAATATATTCCACTACAATGATTAATAACGCAAACACCAGTTTTTTGAATAATTATTTTGTCATTAACTAATTTGGTTGGCTTTTAAATAGAAGTTTTGGAATTGTTTATTGTTGCTATTGCCGTTTTTAATGTAATTTCTTATTTAAATCTCATTCATTTTTATGGTTTTTCGATTATTTATTTCCTCACATTATTTAAAACCACACAATAGAATGAATTATTCTCATATTAAATTGAAAATAATCAAATAATGTTATTATGACGTATATTACACTGTATAGTTAATGCATTGGATGATCTTTTATTATGAACCATTCGATTGTAAATTACATTTCCATGGGTTTGATGTGTTTTAGTATTTTTTTTTTTAGAAACCTTATAATATTTTGTGTGTTTAATATATTTTCTATGGTTTGTCTATTTTGTTACGTCATAAATCAAATTTTAAATTTTATATCAGAGGTTCAGTTTTATTTTAATTCAATTATTCGATACTGTTTATTTCATTAAACCGTTATTTTTGTTTTATTCAAAATTTTTTTTGGCGAGATTATGATTATAATTAAATATTATATAATTTAATATAATACAAACTTTTTCTGATTTAATTAAAAATATAACTTAAAAAAAATTGTTGATGAAAATTGATGAATTAATAAAAATTAAGTTGAATGTTGATGTTTTTCATTTAATAAGAAAAATGTCACTAATTTTATCTGAATAAATGACGAACTTAAAAACTCTTTTAAAAATCCATTTCTATGACATTTTCAATTGTTTGATGTAACAGCCACTTCGTCTAAATATAAAATCACACATTTGTTAAAAGATAAATATTATGTATAAAAAGGTATAACGTTTTGTTTTTATTAATGCAACATTTGAAATTTCAGAATATGCATTGTACATTGTAATTTTCTATTCGAACTTATCACTCATAACTACTCGAATAATTGTTCAGAATTCACTTTAACATACATTGATTTTTATTTTTCCCAAATGTTTAATTTCAAAATATAACCTACATTCTACAGTTATTATTACTCCAAAATTTTATTAAGGTGGTATTAAACGAAAAAAAAAACAAGTTTGGTATATCCGTTACAGCACAACAATACTTGTGACAGCGTTTGATTTTCAACGATAACTTTTATATGGATGGTTGGTCAAAAATTGTTCGTAGTTATTTTAAGCTTATTTTAAGAAGGTGTATACCTTCTTTAGCTATAAGATGCGCCGAGTAGTTGAGTTACATTTACCGTAATATAGGTTATAATAATATCCCCCAACAACATTTTATAATATTATTCTTTTTTATTTAACACTATATATTGTTCGAAATCGTCTTACTGTTAGTAGGCGCACCACTGTTTGTCTTCTTAAAGAAACTACTGAATCTGTTAGCCGCCACCTTCCCTCCTGCTAGACCGTACAGAACTGATTTGGGTGCCATATTTATGGCTTTTCGGAATAATCCCGCTGTAGTACCATCGGTTTCTGCGAAAAAAAATCATACTTTTCAAACATAGATAGCCAGATAGGTACCTATATTGTATTTGTTTCGCTTTTCCTAGTAATGCAATTTCAGATTAAACGACTGCGCAATAGTATAGCTTAAACCGTTTATTTATGTTTAACCGCTTGTGTGGTAATGTATATTGTTCACCAATCAGCAAGGGACGTGTAAGATTTGTACTCAACTGCAATTTATCGAGTCGTATATGTAAGTATGTCACGATCAAATTGCTTACCGGACGAGCCAGGAGTTTTCGTCATTCGATCGGCTTCCTTTTGGATATCTACGTTGACACTTTCCATTTGATCGTTTGCTTTTCTTACGCCAACCGTATATACAGCCATTAACGCGTTGGCTACTGACTTGGGAACGACAGAACTTAAAACACTAGTTTCTTGATCTATTCGGGTTTAAATATTTTAATTAGTTCATTAGAAAATTTGTGTTTGAAATGCATATATGGTGTCAAGTTATAAGTGCTTATAAATTATTATCCATTTAGTTGTTTTTATTTTATAAGCTGATTAATACATTTATTTCCATTTTCGATATAGAATATCATATAGTTTAAATGTTGCTTTCATAGTTTCATGGTTTCATCAGATTTGAAAGAACGATAAAAAGAATTACGTTGACTTCATAGAAATAATTATCTTACCATTATTTTTATTCATTTCATCTACGATCTCGTTTTTAAGTTGACTGAAGTCTACGCCCAAGTAACTTTTAATTTTCACATCTGCATACTCTTTCATTGCAAATAACTTTTTAAATAACTCGATGTTTTGTATAACATCAAATATAGTTAATTTGTTTTGGGCAGGATCACTACCCTTTGCTAAAATGAACAATTATACAATAGTTTTGATATAATGTAATTACATAATATTGTGTAGTGTATAATGTACATATAGCCTATAGGTACCTAATATAATATGTCTATATATTGCTTATAAGTAAACAACAACATCATACAAACATCTATACAAGCATATAATTGTATATAATTATTATTGATATAGATTGTAATGATATTAGGGATAAGGCCTACGTGCATAAAAAATTACTAAGTGTGTTTTTGAAACAGTTTGATCAACTATATTAATCTATAAGACTATAAAAAATTATTAAACATGTACGATTTATAATTTAACCAATATTCATGTAAGTTCCTATTTATTTTTTAAAATTAATTGAGTATTCATAATATGGTTGACTACTGCCGTGAATTTTTAAGTTATTTATTATTATGTGTATAATAATAAATTGTTATTTTAAAATTCTATTACTAAAAAAAAAGTCAAGTTATTATTGTTAAAACATAATTGTATGGAAACATTATTATTTAATACAAATATGTGTGTACGGTATATAACCTCATATATCTGAAGACTAAAAAAATAAACATTTATTAGTAAAACGATTCCAAATGTTATATTAAATATGGAAAGCAAAATTGTTAATATAAACTTTTTTGCGATGGACAACATATTTTGTACTCCACAAAGTGTGGTCAACACTTGTCCATGTCTTACCGATTTCATAAATATATGCTTTCCTTTGGAGTTTGGAGCTCTTAGTACTAGTAATAATATTCTACGAAGTGTTATTCGTTCATAATATTATATTTAATGTGATATATATTACAGTAGGTGAGTGTACGCAATTTATACTTAGTATTGTATTATGAAAAATTATAAAAATATTGACTTTCAATATTAGTACCTACCGTTTTTAATTTTTTGCAGTTCAGCGACAAGATTATCTATTACATTGACTTCTGGACCACCTAAGAACTTTAACATTTCTACTCTGACATTTGAATGATTATCAAGTGGAAATATTTTCGCCATCATTTCGTTATTATTGAGCATATCAATTATTCTTTCGGTATTTAACCCTGATATAGAGCCGTTGTCTTTTCCTAAAAATAAACATAAAAAAGGCTAAAATAGCTCAGGTATTATGAATTCTGTTAAGATGGTGTTGCGTAAATACTTTAAACGCTCTAACTTTTGAAATGTAGTTATTTCTTTGATAAACTGCATATCTTGTGTTACGGGGTATATATTTCAATTTACTTGTAATCAATAACGAATAATAATAATTGAAACCGAGTGCTTGTGTCAGCAAATAACATGTATATTATGTTTGCGATCTTCATAATGATCACTGGAAATATCTGGTTAGAATTCCCGATATCGTTGTAATCGTTTGTTGAACCGTTTAAAGACTTCTTCTGGTTCTAGTTCTACACCGCAGATTCATCGAGAAATTGTCACGAGAGCGGTTTCGTGACATTTGATTATCCAAAAATCAACCGAATTGAAGTCATCCGATCCGTGAGACGAATTTAATTGAAAACTTTACGATGATTTGTACACCTGGCAGAATAAAATAATTACAGCAGACGGTTTGACTTTCCACCTTAAGTCTTCCTTCATACAAGTTTTTCCATTTTTAAACACTCGAAGTGAGCATTGCTTTAATTCTTGATAACGTCTTCTTCGTAGCTAGCCAATATTTGCTAATGAATTTCGATTCAAGGTGTATTTTGGATTAAAAACTTCAGTTACTGATCAATACTCGTTGACGTATTCGAAACAGATTCAGTCCTTTTGACCGAAAGAAAGCACTAACACGCTACCTATATTTTTATACCGGGTTGCTTTGGGCTTAACTTTAATTTTATGTTATTTTAAAGCTAAATGCGGAACAACAAACAATGATACCATCGTTCCAAAAATTATTATATTAGGACACATTTAATATAATATGTTGCAGTGAATGTTAAGTGATATTAATTGTTCGTAGGTACAAATAGTTATGTGGAATTTGCATTTATTTTCACTAATATCGTAGTTTAAAATTGTTTGGATGACAATGGCTTGATTTTTGTTAAGATTTCTGCCAGATGTTTATCTAGTGACTAGTAATATTAATTAATACTTGTATTTAATTTTGTAAGAAGACCTAGGATTAAACTTCAAAGTTTAAATTTTAAACTATTAGTGCTTTGTGTATACTTTTAAAACAAATATTTATAAAATGTCTTACCTATCTCTGGAATCATATTTTCTTTTTTCACAATCTAATAATTAATCAATAATTAATCACGTATTTAAGCAATATTGTTGAATTTATTTGGATATAATTTAGATAAACAACATACTACACACAGTAGTTATATATACTTACAAGCATAACATAAGTTAGTAAACACATGAATTTTAAAGCGTCCATTGATAAACCTAAGAAAAAAAAATAATGTAAATTAATATGCTAAAATTAAAAATAGCTAACTATTTGACTTTCAGTAAGAATTCAATAAATAATTAATTAAAATGTATCATAATTTTAAAGTTTTTAATTCAATCACTTGTTATTAATCATATTATGAAATATCATGTGTTCAAAATGTTTTACATTTTATTTGATGTAAAATGTCCAGTTTAATTATAATACAAATATTTAAAAATTACTTTATACTGGCATAGCTTTAACTTTCATACTGATTTTAAATTTTTAAATTTTTTATTACAAATGATATGATATTGTACAGTATAATACACATAATGGACCTTTTTAGTAATTATGTATACACGAACAATCCAACGGTTTAGTGTACTTTGTTGCAATAACAATAGTCATTATAGGTATAAAATATTTAAATTGTTAATTATATTGACAAACTTTATACATTTATATTCAGTCTATTGCAAAGGGTGATAGGTACGTGTGTATTGTCACATTAATATGGCGACAACAATATTATTATTATCATTGCCTGGACCTACTATTGTAAATTGTTTGTATCGATCCAAAAATGTTTTCTCAAAACCAGCCCATAAATATCTGTATATGTGCATTTTCCGGAATTTGCTATTATTGTTTGGCGTAAAATAGATACTGTAGGCCATACCGGACAAAACAGTTTTCAACTCGATCGGCCCTAAAGTATGTTTTAGATATCAAAACGGCACAATTGTCGTCCGATTATTTTGTAACAATGTCGATTCAAATTCAAATAATTTTTTCAGTATTATTAGTATAGGTATTTATTTTGAAAATATCGTGATTATAAAGCAATTTTGACCATACTAAGTTTACTTATACGTCGTATAGTGCATACCTACCAAGTACCAATACATTGCAATCGGGTGTGTGCATTCCGGTTATACTTTTGCAATATTTTATTCCTAGAACTTTATTATTTTCAGTTAAAAATAATATTGAAGTCCACAGTTATTACGTCACAATAATATTATTACTGACCTAACTTCAAGATTCAACAACTCCGTCTTATAATTTCATATGGTATATTTGTATTTGCTGATCGAATGTTTTTGTTGTTCTTGTAATTTTTACTTTTTACCACTAGTGACATTCGGCAGTGTGTCAACGATTGCAGGCTGTCTGATGGAAGTGATAGGATCTTAAGCTTACTAGTGGTCAATATTAAATGTATTCAAAACGTAATTTTATGAACTCATGATAAAAATCAATTATGTATAGACTCATAAATGTAGAAAGTTTCATCATTGGGTGGCTGATATTTTTTACACGTTTATTGTATATAAATCGTTTTATGCTCATTGTGAAATGCATGAAAATTATGCTGAAACTAATGTTTTCGAAAACATTTAGAATTATAGTTCATGTTTCAACATCCAATAGCAAAATATTACTAAACTTCAACATTTGAAAAAATTCAAAACGAATGCGGTAATATTTAGTTGATATACCAATAATGAGTAAGAGTATTCATGATGATGGGATATCAGAGGATGTCAGTGCACTATTTGTTGTCTCTTCTTGACTAACGCCCAACTTTGAGCTCAGCCAATCCAATTTATTGTGTTGTTGGCTTTGCTATTAAGTCGGGTTCACTGCTACGTCGTATGTTGTATTGTGTGTGCCTTTTATCGTATTCTGATTGGCTGTTGTAATCGTGGTAACATTTACTAACCACGATCCACTGGAAAATATAAAGAGTTGGGCCAAGCTCAACTTTTGGACGAGATCCGACCGACGACGTCGCGTCGCAGGGAATCCGGCTTTATAGTAAATTGATCTATTATAGGTACAATTATTTGTTGAAAGAAATGGGCCCATTATACACTGTAATTATGTTGAAAGTGTTTTAGTGTAATAATCGACAGGTATTAGAAAATATAAAAGTGACAACGGGGGACGAGGTGACCGAGTGGTCTGACTCTTCCGCTGCGACGCAGCCGGTCGCGGTTCGATCCTCGGCCACCGGGCGGCATTTTTCTCCGGACAAGTCGCGGTGACCGGAGA